ATCTCAGAAATATAGACAGATACTGAAAGGCCGAAACGTTAGGAATAATATGGCGACAAAGATAAGGACAATAATCCGAATAATGTAAATAGTGTACATACTACCTCACCTCAGAAATATAGTCAGATACTGAAAGGCCGAAACGTTGTAATAAATACGGCGACAAAGATGAGGATAATAGTCGGAATAATGTAAATAGTGTACATAATAACTCATCAAAAAAATATAAACAGATACTGAAAGCCTGAAACATGGTAATAAATATGGCGACAGAACTCAGGACAATAGTCCGAATAATAATGTAAGTTTGTGTACATAATACCTCATCTCAGAAATATAGACAGATACTGAAAGGCCGAAACGTTGTAATAAATATGGCCACAAAGATGAGGACAATAGACCGAATAATGTAAATAATGTACATAATACCTCATCTCAGAAATATAGACAGATACTGAAAGGCCGAAACGTTGTAATAAATATGGCGACAAAGATGAGGACAATAGTCGGAATAATGTAAATAGTGTACATAATACGTCATCTCAGAAATATAGACAGATACTGGAAGGCCGAAACGTTGTAATAAATACGGCGACAAAGATGAGGATAATAGTCGGAATAATGTAAATAGTGTACATAATACCTCATCTCAGAAATATAGACAGATACTGAAAGGCCGAAACATTGTAAGAAATATGGCGACAGGGAATAGGGCAATAATCCGAATAATGTAAATAATGTACATAATACCTCGTCACAGAAACATAGACAGATATTGAGACATCAAGCAGGTTCAGAAGATGAAATACTTCTGAAGCGTTTAAAGAGAAAATGGAATAGACGACATCCGGATTTGAACACACGTTGACTAGGGAAGAAAACATTGCCAAAGCTAAGTAATGTCTTTCGAAACGGAAAAATATCGATAGAAATAAGGAAAAGAATTCTAGATTTCTCTATGCTGTCTATTATCTTAACGCTAGTCAGTCTCCCCATGGATGAAGAGAAAAATGTTAGCAGCCAAATGTGGTTGTACAGAAGGATACACATCATTCTATAGACGGAGCGAGCTATAACACGGCCGGACGGACTGAATCCTGGTTTGTTACCATGATGGTCAGCACTGACGCCAGGTAACTGATGGTTATCAGCTGACCGCTGGGGTTCGTCATCTACCCTGCCACGCTTTGTGTTCTTTGATCACAGAGCAGTAAGTATCGGATTTAAGCAATGAATTGAATTGTGGCGGAAGCGTGCTACGAAAAGTACAAAGAATATTTCCACTGGTGAAAATACAGATATCATAACAAATAACCCTTCCTGTTAAAACTCTCTACCATGTTTCTTGTTTCTAAAATTTGGACACACAAAGAATTAGGTCGGGATTTCTGTCGACAGCAGGTCACGTGTTGTTCAGCACTTCCTCTTCCGCTGCTGTTACGTCTTTTTTACGTCTCTCGCTCGAAATGTTGAGTTCAACTAAGCGTTCGATTTATATGTATTTCGAGTGACTTTTACAATACATCAAATGTTATTAATTATCCATCAATTAATTATTTTCGCCAACTCCGGAGACCTGACACCCTCAAAAAGTTTGTCAGCTATTTTAAAACAATAATCCGTTTGTCAATAAACTTTTGTTTAAACATTTCTTTCGACAGTCGGCAGTTTACACAAATCAAATCTTCTTCGTTAGGAATCTTTTGTATTTGAAAATTATCTATGTCATTTGACGTAAAAGATTTTCATTTTGATTTACGACTTCCAAAATGACCGATTTTAAATCCCATTGCTTACATTTTTGCTTTACTCAAATTCGTTTCCCAGCCGTGTTCAACTATTCAAAACAATGATTTTTACGATAATAACTTTTTGCGTTTTTGAAATTTAACTCAAACAGTAAATAATTATCCTTGTTTGACGACTTTTCAAGACACTTTCAAAATAATTCTCTGCACATTCCAGAGTGTTTATATACCCGGAATTTTCGGCTTCTATTTTACATTTCTCAATTGTCAGATTGCATACATAACAGGCTTGTTTACCAGAAAGAAAAGAGAAAAAAAAACACTTCGCTTCATATTTCAATTCATGTTTTCACCTTAACGATTTTAACGTTTTTAACCTTCTCAATTATTCAATTCTATACGGAGATTCTACATAGACCGTTTTTAATCCTAATTCCATGTTACCAATGTCAAAATAGTGTCACAGACTAAACTTAAAAGAGTCTTACAGAAAATGACAAAAAAAAAAAATAATACTCAAAATCAGGAGAAAAACATTTGATCCTTGGATATATAATGTGTGCTCGAGAGATGGAGGCAAGATTAAAAGTAGATGCCGATAACCACAAAAATAAGAAAGGGAAAAACAATGAACATTACAAAGGAGGAAACTGTTACGAATGCTATCAATCTAGTGGGTGAACTTAAAAGTTCATAGTTTACTATGCAAAAGTGTTACTAGAACTGTGACGTTTGCTTGAATAAATTTTAATTCTTCTTATTAAAATATGCATTGTATCTTGACATGTATGAATTTTGGCTGGACTGTTTTCACGCGGACTATAAAGAAGTGAGGCTAGAGCTGTGAAATTTTGTGGGCATTAATTTTAACTAATCTTATTAATAACTGGTTTTTCTTTCCAGGTAGGAGTGTGGCCTGAAAAGTTCATGGCCTGAGTATGAAGAAGTGATGCTACTGCCCTGAAATATTGCATGGATACCTTTCAGTCAGAGACAAAGAAACAATGTATGCGGTGGAAACAGACCTCCTCACCTGTTCCAAAGATTACCAAGGTCGTTTCATCTGCAGAAAGATGGTGACCTCAGTGTTTGTGATGTAAAATTCATAGTGTTTATTAACTGTATTCATCAGGCTCGTCACAACTCACATTCAATCCTTGAATCCAGAGACAAATAGAAACATCTATATACATTTGTTCCAAAGAAAGCTATTTTCGCTTTATCTAGAAGAAAGATGATGGCCACATTTTTGGATGTAAAATTCATTGTGTTTATTGACTGTCAGGAAAAAAAGTCACGACTCAAAGGAGAATGCTATCACAACTTGCTGAAGCAGTTAAGAAAGGCTATGAAGACCAAAAAATCAGGAAAACTGACGAAAGGGGCCGTACTTAATTAGAACAATGTTCAAGCACACAAGTCCTTGTTTTCAATATCTGCTAGGAGAGACTATTTTTGAACTGGGTAGTAAATGTTATGGGACCTTACCCATAATAACATAATGGACTATTCCATACGTAATAAATACTGCGCCTCAAGAGGAAGCAGGGAGTTCAGTCTGAAGTCGGGCGACCGGCTGATGGGTTGAACTCCTTGCCTTCGGGCGGGGAGGAACCCGAACGAGGCTACGCCGAAGGGCGGAGTCTCTTTCGGGGAGGTAAACCGACCCTGAACCCGTTTACACGGATTCAAAGGGCATATTTTTAGCCGAGCCCACGGGCTCGGAGATCCCACGTTAAACCGGCTTTGTAACCACATGATTCCCTCGTGGGGCGGTGACTAAATACTGTTCAGTCTGAAGTCGGACGACCGGCTGATCGGCTGACCGACTGAACTCTCTGCCTTCGGGCGGGGAGGAACACAAACGAGGCTACGCCGGAGGGCGCAGTCTCTTTCGGGGAAACAAACCGACCATGAACCCGTTTATACGGGTTCAATGGGCATATTTTTTGGCGAGCCCACGGGCTCGGAAATCCCACGTTAAACCGGCCTTGTGCCACATGATGCCCTCGTGGTGGGGGTGACTAAATAGCGTTCAGTCTGAAGTCTGGAGTGAGGTCCGTCAGAAGTCTGTCCGTCCGTCAGTCAGTCAGTCAGAGCGAGTCAGTCAGTCGAGTCAGAGGCAGTCCGAAAGAAAGTCGCGTTCAGACAATTACTACAAGACATTGGAATAGTGATATTGGTCGAGACTACATTGTTCTCTCTATATAACCTGATTGTTCGTACTAACACTTTCTACTTCTCTGTATATATTCCTGTTTGTAATATATCTGTGTTATTCCATATCCATGTTCGAATTCTTCTTTATTGGTTCTCCCTTGGACTATCACCGTGGTACAAGGACCTGGACCATAACAGTAAACATCTCTATTCTCTTTGGTTCCATTTGATTATTATCTGTTCACCAACATGACAGAACACTTAGTTTCGAACCCTTATCGCAGTGATGATGTCGTATCTGCTCTAGAAGACTTTTTTGACGAACAGGATGAGAACTTCTTCGGCAATGGGATCCAACCACCATAACAACAGGGAAAGATATGCATTCACCGCAAGATGAATTATGCTGAAAAGTCAACGTCATTTGGTCATATTCTGTAAGAATATGTTAGTCAGCCTAGGAAACTTTTAACCGACACTCGTATTTTAGTCAAACCTAATCCGTAATAATACTGTGACAATATCATTTTATCGGCATATATAAAACTGATACTTTATTTTTTCATGCCTAGACTCTCCCATGTTATTTTTTAATATCTTCCGATGACTACTAATTAGTGTATTTCGCTGAAATATGCCGGAGGCTGAAGGTCGGAGTTAACAACGGTAAAAAATTGCAGTGATCAAAACACAAAGAGGACGATGTTTATACGAAAGACGCCATGCTTATTTCTGGCGGCATTTTTATTTTAATCCATATAAAACTGAATCGTGTGATACCAATTAAAAGATCAAACAACACGACGATATAAAATTCCACACGAGTGTAGAAATTTTTTTTTGTAATATTTTAATTAATGAAAATATGGCTCGCTCTTGCTAATTCCTTGAAAAGAAATATTTCAGTGAAAAGTAGAGATAGACATCACGGTGTTATACAGCTGCGGCGATAGTGGCATTAGTGTCAGCGAAATTTTAACATCATTAGGAATAGACTATGAGTACAAGAGTTGTATGGTAGAGGAAAAAATAAGGATACATAATATGAAGGAACGAAACGTGGTTGGCAATATGAATAGGAGCGAGAAAGTGTTATGAATTTGAAGGTGGATGAGAAGGAGAAGTAGAAGAGGGAGAAGTAACAGAAGAGGGAGGAGGAGGTGGAGAAGAAGAAGTACAAGAGGGAGAAGAAACAGAAGGGGGAGAAGGATAAGTAGAAGAGGATGAGGAAAAGGAAGAGGGAGAAGGATAAGTAGAAGAGGGCGAAGAAACAGAAGGGGTAGAAGGAGAAGTAGAAGAGGGCGAAGAAACAGAAGGGGTAGAAGGAAAAGTAGAAGAGAGAGAAGAAACAGAAGAGGAAGAAAAAGAAGAGGAAGAGGGACAAGAAACAGAATGGAGAGAAGGAGTAGTAGAAGAGGGTGAGGAAACAGAAGGGGGAGAAGGAGAAGTAGAAGAGGGCGAAGAAACAGAAGAGGGAGAAGGAGAAGTAGAAGAGGGAGAAGAAACAGTAGGGAGAGGAGGAGTAGAAGAGGGACAAGGAACAGAAGTGGGAGGAGGAGGAGGAGGAGAAGTAGGAGAGAGAAGAAACAGAAGTGGAAGAAGGAGAAGAAAAAGAGGGATAAGAAACAGAAGGGGGTGAAGGAGAAGTAGAAGAGGGCGAAGAAACAGAAGAGGGAGAAGGAGAAGTAGAAGAGGGACAAGAAACAGTAGGGAGAGGAGGAGTAGAAGAGGTACAAGGAACAGAAGTGGGAGGAGGAGGAGGAGAAGTAGGAGAGAGAAGAAACAGAAGTGGAAGAAGGAGAAGAAAAAGAGGGATAAGAAACAGAAGGGGGTGAAGGACAAGTAGAAGAGGGAGAAGAAACAGAAGAGGGAGAAGGAGGAAGAGGAGAAGAAGGAGAAGAAACAGAAAGGGGAGAAGGAGGAGGAGGAGAAGTAGTAGAGGAAAAATAAAAGAAGAGGGAGCAGCGGCAGAAGAAAAAGAAGTAGGAGAAATAAATAGAGAAATGTAAGAAACATTTCGGAAGGAAATAGAAGTAATGATATCAAGTTAAGGAAAAAGAAAGAAAAAGAAAACGAAAGGAAGAAAGAAAGAAAGAAACAAACAAAGAGTGGAGGAGGAGGGTAATGAAAAGGTTGTATTTTATTAGGAAACATCCAGAAAGAGACATGGCAACTGAGCAGGGTTGGGAAAAGAAGACTGTACTAAAGAAGAAAGAAGAAGAAACTCCCAGAGAAGTAGATGATAAAGAAAAAGAAGAAGAAGATGTGAAGAAGAAGAAGATGAAAGAAATAGATAATAACGATGATGAAAACAATGGATAGTAAGAAAAAATTCCTACAGAAGAAGAAGAAGAAGAAGAAGAAGAAGAAGAAGAAGAAGAAGCAAATATTTTATTTTGAAAAGGCAAATATGTATGAGCAAACGACAGGGGAATATACTAGAAATTCTTGTACGCGATCATTACCACTACCCTGCTCATGTTGTGGTTGGCACACATGGGACTATTTCCAGGAAATTTCCTGCCTCGCAAGACTCCTTGGGGATTCCTGTCATAACTGGGAGGGAATAGTTTGCAACACATCTTGGAACGACTCATGTACTGGGAAAAGTTTTGTGTCTCTAAACTGAGAGTAAGCTCTGAAATATGATCATTAAAAAATGGCCGAAACGACTAAGACTCAGAGAGGATATCAATCAATCAATAATAATAATAATAACTAGAATACCCGTGATCCTTTGGGTCACTGACGGTTCAGGTTATAAAACATTGAAGTTGATTTCAACGTTCCATTGAAATGAAAGCTAATTTTATTATGATTCGCTTAAATATTTCAATTCGTTCGAGTCATCATTGGTCTGATTTAACATTTTACTGATTGTTTACAGCATTTAATAGGAATAGATTTCCGGGATAAACTTGAACGTTAAATCAGATTAACTTAAAAATATTTTTTACTATTCCCAAAAATATTGTTAAATCGTATTCACTTGAAAATATTTTTTAAATATGCGAAAAAAATATTTTCTAAACATTTAAAATATTTTTTGTTCAAAGAAAGCCGAAATATAAATAATTACTCTACAAACAACAGGACGAAACGGCAAAGCGGGATCTCTTTGTGTCTGTCTGTAACTTAAAAATATTTTAATTAAAAACATTGTTTGAAGAACGTTAAAATAAAAAAGATATTTACCTTATAAACAACTCTTATTTTAAAAGATTATTCACTTAGATCAGATTAACTTAAATCTTTCTGCACCGGACGGACGGACGGACGGACGGACGGACGACACAAGCACGCACGTAATCACAGACTTTTAGTATTATAAAGATTACAATGATTAGCGGTTACGCAGTGCTGAGTTACTTGCTTAAAACCGAATGTTTTATTCATGCAGCATACAATCAATGCTTGCTAACTAGAAATTACCAAGCACACATATTGAAATAAATGTGTTAAACGGAAATACAGTTTCCGTGATAAATATCCAGAAAGAATTAACTGTCTTGTATCAGATCGTGTTAGCACTCCACTGAATATAAAAATCTACGTGATAGAATGGGCCAGTATCTGCATTAGAATATATGAAACTTTTACGAAAAAGAAATTTCAACAAATTTGTATGACCATCATCCTAACCCGGTTACATAGATAGGACATGTAACAATGTTATACAATGCACAGACAGAACAATCTGTGCTAATCGCCCTGACATCTTGATCAAAGACCACAAGGACAGAATGTGTTTTCTTATTGAGCCGGTAGTCCCTGCAGATTGTATCTTTGAAGATCTTCAAGAACCTATCAAAATACAAGAAAATGAAGATCTCAAGTGTTGCACATGACGACATCAATAATTCAAATTGCGGTTGAAGCCCTTGGATTGATTGGAAAAGGTTCTGATTGATTCACTGTATGGATTCCTGGTAGCCCAAGACTTAAAAAAATATCAGTAATTGTACTCACAAGTAAAGCTCAGACCTTACGAAGAGCTTTATCTACGCAAAATGTATGACATCTTTTTTTGTTTTGTTTTGTTTGGGTTATGTTTATTTTAAATGCTCACTGGAATATGTCATGATACCATTTCTGTCCTTGGGTCATTGTTTGGGACTCGGACAGAAATAAGTGTATACCAGAAATCAAAGGAAATAATAATAATAATAATAATAATTAAGAAGATCTTTATCTCTGTAATATGTGTGTGAACTTACGTTTTCTCTTGTGAGGTTTGTTTTACGAAAGATGATCAGTCGAAAATGTGATGCAGCTATTTTTGACTTTAGGTCTCTTGTTTGGACAGAAGGAAATGTGTATACAATAGAAATTCTAGGAAATAAGAATAAAAATCATAATAATATGACGATGATAATTTCGGTTTTAATAGATTATAAAAATCTACACATCCTCGACTTTGCATTTAATGTGTTCTCCTTTGATTATAACTTAAACAAGAGATATCAGTTAAATTAAGGCACTGCAGATTAGATATATTTTAATCTTTTTGGATATATTAATTGGTTAGCTCTTAATCATAGACTGTGAATTGGTTTACTTCTCACCGTTTAAAATTATTCGAAAATATTCATTCTATTTTAATTCTTCTGAAAGCGTCATTTTTTTTCATTCAAAAAGATGTCAGTGAAAACACACGGTGGTAATTAGATTGAATAACGAGAAATTATGCTAAACATCGTATAAATAACATATAAAATCGGATAGAATAAAAGAATTCGAGATAACGCTGTGTAAGATTCAAATGCACATAAGACAGGATCAAAAATAAAGGAAGACAAAGAGAAATAAATCCGTAAAAGCAGACGACAAAAATCGTCAGAAAGTGATTGGTAAGTGAAAAAAAAGTGGAAGAATAAGATTAAACGACAGGAAGTTGTCAAAAATATCAATAGAAGAATTCAGTTACTTTGTTGAAAGGCATGACATATCAAATGTTGTTGGCTTATATAAATGTTACGTTAATTAACTCACGCACGCATAGATTCTCTCAGCTATAAATAGGAGCAGGTACTGCCTTTTGGAGAGGGAAGTTTCTAGCAGTCAGCTCGGACAGTCGGATCGAACATTCTTGCTGTAACACTCTCGTTTGTATATGCTTGTGTTACTCTTTTCTTTTAATATATTTGTTTAACTTAATTCCTCTCGTGTTCTTAATTATGTTCCACAACATTAAACATTATCACCCGTCGGACACCGAAATAAAAACTGTCTCAATGAATCGATATTCCCTACAGTGGTCGCCGTGCCTTGAGAGACAATTGTACTTTAGACTCAATCTTAACATCAAGTGGAACTCGTACATATGTTCCATCGCTAAAGATGCAAGAACAATGGTCGGTTTCCAGTAGCGCTCCAGGAAGTACCCGGCTCCTCGTGATATCTTCTACTTTTATAAGAACTAGATCCAACCTAAAATGGAGTACTGTTTTTATATTTGATCAGGAGTTTTCGCGCTCCTCACTTTCCAGTTTAAACTGTGCAAAAGAGTTTTCGACATCTTGTGAGTAACAAATTATTTTCACCCTCCAACCTCTCTCTCACCAGCGGGATATGGATAAACTCTCACTGCTCTAAGGCTACTTCCATGGAAAATGCTTAGACAGACAGCATCCTTCGTTCCACCCGTTCTAATCTTCACGGTTAAGATCAGCCATGCCACGCCCATTGTGGCAAACCACCCATAATCCCTCCGGATTCAATTGGTTAGAAGTTAGTTCCGCCCGAAAATGTTCTTTTTCCGAAACATGGCGGTGTGGAACCGACTCTCATTGAGAATAACTCTCCTAATAATGTAAATAGGCAATTGTAATATAAAGGTTTGAACTGATTCTATAACATTCCCAAAGGTAATTAACCATTTGCGCCCTGCGATCCTGAACAATGTTTACGTCATGTTTCTCTACCACAGTTTAACCGGTGACTGCGCATTACGCATTTTTCTTTACCACTGGTAAAGCGGTGATCAGGGCTCAAACGGTTAAGAAGAAAATATGTGTATGTTCTGAACATGACACGAAGCTCAGAATGAAGATAGTTGATGCGTACAATCAAAGCGATGGCTATACAACATTTTCCAAGCGTTTAAATGTTCCTAGATCGACAATTTGTAACATTATCAAGAAGTACAGCGAGACTCACTGAGTTGAAAATAAATTAAGGACTGGCAGAAAACGGTTAATATCTGAAAAAATGGCTAAGAAAATTGTTAGAGATGACATTGAGCATCTTCACATAGTGAAAAAGGACATTGTCAATACGTAAAGATATCAAGGTTGGATGTAACAACGATGATAAAGCCGTTGGTATAAATTAAATGCCTATAATGTATAACAGAAGCCATTGGTTTATACCAACGGCTTCACATACTTAATACATCTTGTTTTTCAGTCACGCGTGGTCATGTGTGACGTCACGAGCTGCGACGCGATTTTCTTTTCCGCGTCTCGTATATGCGAGTTTGTCGTTATTTTGAAATTTGAAGCAGCAAAAGTGGAATATTATTGTTGTTTCGTCCGTGTGATGTTTGGTATATTGAAATTTTCATCTTTGATAATGGCTTATGTAAGCCGAAGGCTTAGATTGGATTTAAACATGTATCAATATGGTGTTTTCCTTTCGTCTTTCAACGATAATATGATTAAGCTTATCTGACAATATGAAAGGAACTTACTTAAAATAAATCGACAAAACTTGTCTATATAATTTAATGAAACATCCATTAATATATATATATATATATATATATATATATATATATATATATATATATATACTGTGTCTGAAGTAATTAAGCAAATCATATGAACTTCAATAATTCAAATTTTGTTTGAAAAAAAGTTGTCAAATTTTCAACATTCCATTTATGTCAAAACAAAACAAGAGTTAAAATTTTAGGTAATATCAAATTTTCTTTGGGAAATTATTTGATGCATTCTAAAAAAACTGCCGTCTGAATTTATAAGGCAAATCCAAATGCTCACATTTTACTGTAATAAAAACCTAATTAAATCATCATAAATTGAAAAACTCCTATAACAGAACAAATAATAAAGACATATGATAAGTCTGTAAAGGCATTACATTTTAATATAGGGGACCTTCTTCTCAACAAGAGCCAGGAGTCTGTTATCCAA